GCGGAAGAGGCTCATCGCCAAACTGTTGGAGTTGTGGGTTTGGATGAAGATGACGTAGGCGGTGTCTTGTCGGCTCACATTCATTTGCACTTCTTGCCTGAGCACCAGCGTGCTGAGCATGGAGACTATGGCTTTTAGTTCTGCCATCTGTTTGTGCTGGTCCGCTTCCTGTGCTGTTGCCCGGGAAGAGCGAGGTGCCCACGTCTCCTGATCCTGTTGTCTGTGACCGCCCCAATCGTTGTTTCTCCAGGAGTTGTTGTAGCGTGAGCCCTGCGGGTTGTGGCGTCTGCCCTTTCCGCCTTGAGGAGCTCCCTTGGGCCCCGGCTTTTGCCACTTCTGAGGTCGCTGTTCGGCGTCCTGCTCCTCGATCTCCATGGACTGGTGGTACTGGAACTGCTGGAGGTTCAGGGCTGTCGGCAGTAGGGACTTCAGCATGTCCAGGTCCTGTGTGGCCGCCTGCAGCTCGGTTGGAACTGGGCACTCCGACTGGAAGGTCCCGAACATGATCCGAAAGCTTGGGTCCGGAGGATACCGTCTGGCCTGTGAGATTCAGGGCTTTGCCTCGAGCAAGACGACGGTGAAGATATACACCATTAAAGATTCCTATGCATGACCGTAGATGGGCATCTCGCCTGGTGAACTGTAGTCCGCAGTACGGGCACGGGCTTTTCAGACTGATGTTGCTTTTCTTGATGTCATCAATGCACGCCTGGATAAGCGGGGTTCTTTCTGGATGCTTGGTCTGCATGTGTCTGCGGACGTAGGTCGGCTTAACACACCAGTGGTTGCATTCCAGGCAGTGGTGCTGTTTGTTGCGGACTATGTCAAGTTGTGCCAGGGATTGCCAAGTGCAGTCTTTAGCAAGCGACAGAACTTCTTGTGAGTCAACGACCGCCTCACTCAACAGTGGAACGAGGTGTACGTCTGAGTCTGGCTGAGTGTAGATGGCCCTTAGGATAGCGCAGCTGCGTGAGGTCACATGGTAGAAGAAGGCATGCCACGTGGTAAATTCATGTAGACAATGTCTGCATTGTGGCATGCCGTCCTTAGCATGCTCCATGGGAGAACGCTTTCTGAGCTGCTGCACTTCTTGTTGTCGCTCCGTTTGTTGTTCTTCATTGAGGTGCATAAGGTACCGATGTCTTTTAAGGGCAGCCGCTGTCACAAATTGCTGTCCACACTCTTCGCATTCAAAGGTTTCATGTATCACCTGATCAACACACTTCAGCGATGCGGGAGACCGGGTTGCCTGTAGCTGTGTCTGCGAAGTGTATGGCGAGTCAAACAGTTGGCCACTCACGACAGTCCGCCATTGAAGCTGCGCCGTGCCGGGCAGGAGACTCTGGCCTAGGAACGAGTCTTGTAGATGTCGCCGCTGCAGGGAGTCTCTGAGTCTCCTGGCCGGATCTTCGATTTTGAGCCTCTTCAGGAAGTCCTCGTTGGACTCTCGTGTGAACATTGAATAAGACTTGGCAATTGAACGAGCTTGCTGTGTAAGCTGAGAATGCAGCGTCTGAAGTTCAAGTTGCGGAAGGCCCGTAACATCGAGTCCATGAAGAAGTGCTGGCCATACACAGCCCTGCCACAAGCGAAGGCGAAGTCCCATCGGTACTGATCGATTGCGGAGGATTGATCCCAGCCTGGTGAAGGTCCCCTTGGCGATTCCCAGTCGGTGCCTGAAGGTTTCGCTCTCGAACCGTCTGTATGACACAACGGCTCCAAGGTAGACGTGGGAGGTCACGAGTTTAATGTGCATGGCCTTCCCATTGATGACAAACTTCACGTGGGGTCCTTGTGGTAGATGTACTACATACCTGGCAAGGGACTTGGGCGCCGCCGAGCCTTTGAGCTCAAGGAGTATGACCGTCTTGTCAGTGCTAACGGTGAGGCCATAGGCCGAAAGGCTGCGGAGCACGTGTTTCATGGCGTTGTACGCCTTCTCCAAGTCGCTGCCTTTCCTTATGGTCCAAGCGAAACGCTGGTCATCAGCGTAGACTGTGGCGGTATCAGTGACTGCCAGTTGTGTGGGATCATTCATCTGTTTAAGCACCCATCCGCTGTACAGAGCCCACAAGATGGGCGCGAGGCCGCAGCCTTGTCGAAGTCCACGGTGTAGACTGATCAAGGTCTCCTGATCTGCATGTTTGATCTTGATGCGGGCTTGCTCGTGTATAAGAAGGATGGCCTGTATGAGATTGTCGGGAATGCCTGCGTCTTGGAGTGCCAGCCGTAGTGCCGATCTTGGCACATGATCATACGCACTCGTGATGTCTAGCGATAGCTGGCATCCGCCATAGAGACTGAGGGACGTGCTGCCTTGTCTTCGGGAGTGTAGTGTGGAGGCTTGTTGCTGAACCAGTCTCCTCACTTCAGCACAGTGCCCTATGACTCGCTCCAGTGCCTGGGCTAATGTCCGATGAGCCACGTACGCGTACTGTGGCAGGTTCTCCAGGTATTTGGAGACATAGGGTTGGAGACGACCTGCTACCACCGATGCTAACAGCTTGGCTTGTAAGCTCAGCAGGCAGATGGGCCTGAGATGAGCTGGTGAGCGAAGTGGTTTGTGTGGCTTCGGAAGAAGAACCAATTCGCACACATTCCAGTGCTCAGGTAGAGACTGGCAGCCCTTGGTGAGGTAGTAGTCGAACTGAAGTTTGATCGGGGCAATCGAGTCCTGATTGAACAGTTTCCACAAGATCGAGGGTGCACTTGATGATGGCATGGCCTTCCCCGATCGTAGCCTGCCAAAGGCGGCTGAGATCTCTGCCGTGGAGATGTTCAGGTCCTGCTTAAGCTGGGGCGGCTGAGAGCATGGTGGGCCTGCATATAGACTGGCGAAGTGGGTGCGAATCTGATAGAATTCCTCCTCATGAGTCTGCAGACCTCCGTCTGGTTTGCGTAGCTGAAGTCTACGTCTCGGCACCTTGGGAGCGAAACGCTTGGCAGCCTTGCGAATGTCTGTAGATTGGACCGCCTCGGCGACTTTGTTCGTCTTGCGCTGCTTGCATGCCTGTCGAAGGGCTCGCGTGTGTGCTTGCAATCTGGCTGCTAGGAACCAGGTCTGGAGCACTTGTGATGGCCGTGGCGCATGACAGGTCCATTGATAGAGTTCCTGGCCCAGGCTGCGCAACTGACTCTTAAGTTGCCACATTTTCTGAACTTGAAGGGTGAGCGGGCCTTCGTAGTCTTCGGCTTGTCCAGAGCCAAGGTGTTGACGAGAGGCGCCATGGTGGAGCTTGGTGCTGGTCCATCCTGACTCGAGGATGGTGTCTATCGATGAGGTGGCAGTCGCCGCCTGAAGGGCGGGAACGATGCGTTCCTGGAGGTGCTTGGCGAAGTCCGGGTCCTGAAGGGATCTCCGTACCATGTGCGATGTGACCTTGCTCGAATCCGGAGTGTGGTACGGCCTTCGGGGCATTGGTAGTTTGGCTGAGAGTGGTCGGTGTCGGCAGCCACTGTCTGGAACAAACGGTGCATTGAAAGCAGCGGCTTGTTTGGACAGGTTATCAACCGTATGACCTCTGCCAATGATGAAGTCGATCTGGGTGCCCAGCTGGGTCTCATCGGCTCCGGGGGAGAGGAACGTCCGGTTCTGGACTCCTTTCCTGTGCCATGTGTTGAGCACGCAGCATCTGTGGGCTCGAAGTATGTCCATGAGAACAGACTGGTCTGGATGAGGTGTGGTCGAAGACGAGGGAAGTCCTGCTCCACACGTTGGCGGGTCCTCGTGCACCGACAGGTTGAAGTCGCCTGCCACAGCACAACCATGTCTCTGTGGGACAGTGCTCAGCCACTTGTCTAGGCTATCCCACAATTGTTTGCGAAGGCGCAGAAGTGCATCTGTCTTGCTGGGTCCGCGAAGTGCCTTGCCTTGCAGGTTCCAAGCGTGTTGGTACATACAGAGCAGGTCAAATGGTACTGGAAAGAGAAGACGAACATGTAGGAGACGGCCTGGGTGAAGACAAGAGGTGCGGATCTTGTCCGCCGAGATCAGACCTGAACGGATCATGCATAAGATGCCTGATTTGTCCTTATTGGTTGAATGAACCACGTGCCAATTGACTTGGCCGGCCGCCTCGAATGAGGTCGTGTACTCGAGGTCCTCTTTCCAGGATGTCTCCTGGATCACGCAGATGTCCACTGTTCTGTGGGCTTCATGCTCTAGTTGTAGCCAGGTGGTTATCTCACGGTAGTTGCGAGCTGCAAGTCCTCCTGCATTCCAGGAGACGATGCGTAGACGGGGCTTGTCGTAGCGAAGCTTGTGAGTGCTGGCTGTCGAATTTCGTGAGGCCTGTGATGTCAACTGGGATTCCAGACACATACGACGGCCACGGTACATAGTGGTGTGATCTTCACTTAGGCGGGCTCTGTGGAGAGCTCGTCGAAAGGCTCGTTTACGAAATGGTTGGGAGTGTCCTTCGGGCCGGGCTGTGTGACTCCAGTCACCATAAAGCTTCGCCCTAGGATGAAAAATGGTGAGAGGCCGATTGTTGGCTTCAAGGTTCCCTTGGTGCACGGGAAACCTAACCCTCGCATCTGTTGCAGTAGCTGAGGTGAACATGTAAATGTAGAAGACGACAAATGCAAGCCGGTAGGATTTGCAAGTGTGTGTACTGCAACTCCGGGACTTGGGACCCGGACGGCTCCGGTGTGGAGTGCTCGGACCAGGTAGATCGCGCCTTTCATCAGGGTGATCTTGTCTGGGCCATGTCATCTGTGGTGAGGCTGTCCCTGTCTGTTTGAGTCTCCAGCCCTGGACTTGGGGTACGGCTGGCTGGAGGCAATGTCCAAGGATGACCACATACCTGCAGAGGATAGCCATGAAAAGCTGAGTGACCGCAATGGACAGTGTGATGAATGGTGCGTAAGCCACCGGCCACAAAGTCAGCAATCTGGTCGTCCTGTACCTGGCCATACATGTGGTAGACGCGGGTTTTGCTGCACGATCATGCAGTGTCTGGGTGGAGTCAAGGTGGCTCGCCATCTTGTTTTCCGACGTCTGCAGACTCAGTACCGTGTGGAGCTTTATTGATGTCCAGTGCCCCGTGTATCTTGAGAGCACAGTCAGACATGTGCAAACTGGAAGAAGGGCTGTTATCAGCTGTCCTACGCCTGAGGATAGCAACTGATGGCTACAGCCTGCTAGGCTCATGTACAGCCTGTCAGTCGTCCCGTCCTCGCCTGGGTCAGGGGATGATAGACTGGTTTGTTTGGCTGTGGTACAGGTCTGTTGCTTCTGCAGAATCGAACGAGGGCCGCACTTGCGGTTGGCACGGGGCTTTGCTGCAGGCGTGGAGCTCTGTGTCGTTCTGGCCGGTGTCGGCGCTGGCGGTCCTGAAGGAGACGACGAAGAGAGGACTGTGGAAGTCGGGCCCGTAGTTAGTGTAGCCTCCATGGTTGCCGGGGTTGCCGAGGGGCCGGAAGGTGCCTCGTCCATCTCGTCAGTGTTGTTGAGGTCGCGTAGGGATCCTTCTGTGGCTATGACATCTATTGCTTCGTTTAGCTCAGACTCTGTGGCGCGGGGTGCATCGTCATGAGTGCCCGCCAAGGCCTCGACCGGAGTGGACGGTGGACTAACCCCGCGCTGGTTGTAGACTCCGCTCGGTGGGGTGTCCTCACCCACCCACAGAAGGTGGGGATGGAATCGGTCTGGTGGTCGCATCGGTCGTAGCTCAAGAACAACGCCTTCTTGGTCGCGCCAGTTCCAGCCCGGGTGGGTGAGCACCTCGCGGAGGTTGGCGCCTCCCATGGATTGGATCACCTCTCCTACTGCCGAAGAGATGTGGAGCGAGGCGTCTCTGAGGTCCGTGATTGGCCGTGGCGGAGGTGGGCCCTTGGGCGGAGAACCAGGGTGCTCCGAGGCAGTGGAACCCTCTGAGATAAGGGGATCCAGCACCGGTGAATCACCCTCCATGTCATCAGAGGCCATCCTTCCACTTGTTGGCTTCTGCTGTGTTTGAGCCCACGTGGGAGGAGTCAGGTGAGTCATGTCTTTACATACCTGCCACATCCGCCTGAGCTGCATCCAGCTGCTGACCAGTACAGTTAGCAGTCTGCAATTATGCATGGGGCACACGACGGTTGTCATGCTGGGCATGGCTGGTCGGCGATGCCTGCTTGAAGTCGCCTGGAGGCTAATCGTGCCAATCAGGTAGACACTAGAGCTCATGAGTGCAATGACCATCACTCCCGGTAGCACAAGAAGCCACAGCGCCTCGAGAGTAGGGACTCGACCGGTCGCGCGGCAGGCTTGTTGCATGCGATATGCACCTCTAAGACATCGTTCGAGCCACTGACCCCCTCTAGTCCAATGTCTCCAGATCTTGCCGATGAAAACGACACACTGTGTTGAGCATGTCCAGCCCAAAACGAAGATCCCTCTCTGTGGTTTCAGCCACCAGCTGAAGCTTGCCAGAAAAAGAAAGCAATAGCCAGCCATCAAACCACACTCCGAAGGCCCCCGAGGTTGCCCATCTCTGCCTAAGTTGCCATTGTCTGTTGCGGAGAGCACCGATGGGTTGTGCTTCCCACTGTCGAGTAAGAAGGCCGAGCACTTGGTTCTCCACCGAGTGATATAGCATGTCTCGCTGCAGTCGTCTGGAGGCGTACTTAGGGATCTTATTATCTCCATGCAACGCCACCAGGTCCATAGCAGCAGCGGCGCACTCATGTGCGAACCCCGAAGAGCCGTAGCCAGCCAGCCCAACAGAAACTGAATCTGCTGCTCCTGGTCCCAGAACTTCAGAAGACAAGTCGAAAAACCAAGCCGGTCAAGGGGCCGCGGGTGCCTCACAAGTGTGCTCCACTCCATGGAGCCGAGATGCTTATAC